AACAGTGTGTAGATGGGTACCAAGGCACTGAATTGCTATCTTTTTCAGATATTATTTATTAATCCCCTGGGCAGTGGAGGTTAAAACACTGTCCTGTGTTGGCTTAAGACTAATTGGGGAGCTATGACAAATGCATTTAAAGCATTAGATCAGATTCTAAATATTGCTTCCTGCCACACTAAAAGGTTCAACTTTTGAAAATATTACTGTCCACGTATAGATCTGTAACTTTTTTAAAAAAAAGTTTAGAACAGTACATGTTCTAAGAATAGAACAGTACATGTTCTATTTTTAAAAACTATAATAATGGGATTGCAAGTTAAAGCATTACCACCAAATAATTCATATTTTAATTTTCTCATTAACCCTAGAAACTTATTTTTGTTTCCCATTATTAACAAGAAAATTACTCAGAAAATATATAAATGCATGTAACTTTTAAAAAGGGTAGCTGACATTTTAAGTAGCTTATTTACAATGTGTACTATCTATAATAATAAAAGCATAATATGCTAATTAGAGCAGACGTCCTTCTGGATGAACTTCCGGATGAAGCTGGGGCTGTGAGGGGAGCCCGGGTCCCGGGTGCCAAAGGGAAGCCAGTGCCGGCAGCTGGGAGAAGGAAGGCCTACTCTTGCACAAATTTTGTGCATCGGGCTTCTAGTTTCTAATAATAAATGAGATAAAGCTGGATTGCAAAACCTAAAGGTTGTGTGAGAACAACTGCATATGCTAAATTTCTAGTGTATGACAGTTAAAGTTTGTAACATTTCCCTGTTATTCTTCCATATAAAATCTAAGTTGGCAGTTGTGAAGGGTCTTTGTTTGAATACACAACCAAAAATATATCACAAATATAATCATTTGCTTCCACTCTTTGGCTTACTGAATGTTTATCCATATAAACATGCATTATTTGGTTAGCAGCAGGCATCTATAAAGCCAGTGTGTATACCAACAAGAGGACTATGACTCTGATAGAAGGAAACACCACCCACCCTACAGCTGCCATCTCCCCTTAGAGTGGATTTGGCCGAGGGGGACCACTGCGTAAGATCCATTAGAGAGGATGCACCATATTGTGTTTTTGTAACTATTGGGAGGAGAAAACAGAGGAGTCAAACAAGATCTGGCACCATCTACGCTTTCCAAATGTTTGATATAACTCATTATGGTCTTATTTATTTATTTATTTATTTATTTATTTTTAAATATATTTTTATTGATTTCAGAGAGGAAGGGAGAGATAGAAACATCAATGATGAGAGCGAATCATTGATTGGCTGACTCCTGCATGTTGGACAGAGCCTGCAACCCAGGCATGTGCCCTTGACGGGAATTGAACCTGGGACCCTTTGGTCTTCAGGCTGATGCTCTATCCACTGAGCCAAACTGGCTAGGGCTCATTGTGGTCATTTTTAAATAGTCAGATGAACACATGCTCTAAAGCCTGTTCTAATTTGGGGACTTACCTCAGCTTTTCCATTGAATACCTCCATCTGTTTACATCAGATTTGAATTCCTTCACTCAGAATAGCATGCTAAGACAATCTCCCCTTGTAGCTTCCCGATTTGGTGGGAAGTTATTCCTAGTCATTTCATGGAACAGAGTTCTTTGAGACTGTCACATTGTGGTCTTAATACCAAATCAAGGCTCATGGCTGTCTCTTCCAGCCCCATGTGCATGTTAACACCTCAGTTCTTAGGGTCTTATATTAATACTAGAGGCCCGGTGCACAAGAATTTGTGCACTCGGGGGAGGGGGGTCCCTCGGCCCGGCCTGTGCCCTCCCGCAGTCTGGGACCCCTTGGGGGATGTCCACCTGCTGGCTTAGGCACGCTCCCTGGAGAATCAGGCCTAGGCTGGCAGTCAGACATCCCTCCGGCAGCCCAGGAGCCCTCGGGGATGTCCACTTGCCAGCGGGGAGCAGGCCTAAGCTGCAGTCGGACATCCTTAGTGCTGCTGAGGAGGC